GCCAGCCATGGGCAGAGGGACAAGGCCTGCCTGAGCTCCTGCCCTTGTCCTGGGAGCCGCCTGCTGTCGTGTGCCCCCACCCCACGTATTTCACTGAAGAAGGCACTGCCCAGTCCTGTGCTGCCCACGATCTGCTATCAGGGACTGGGCCGTGGGACCCTCGGGTGGGGTTTCTGCTGGCCGGCCTTTTGCCCTCCTCTCTCTTACCCTGGGAGCTGAAACCGGCTCAGCATCCTAGCCAAGAGTCGGCGTCCACAGAAAGACGGGGGCAGGGATACTGCGAGTGAGGCCCCTGGGCTGGGGATCAAACTGGGGTCTCCTGCATGGGAGACGAGGAGTCTACCACTAGCCACTAGGCCTGGCAGCATGGTCCCCTCTGAGCCTTCATTTCCACCCACAGTGACTGGTCAGCTTGCTGTGAGGGTGAAGGGCAGGCCAGGCCTTAGCTGGGGGTCTGCAGCGCTCAGGCTCTGGCACCGTCCCCAGGACTGGGGGGGGGGGAGACCCCGCAGTGAGGGAGAGACGGTGGCCTCCCGGGGAGTCTGCCCTTCTCCTGGACCTTGGCTACAGATGCAGAGACAGGCCCCGGCGGTCTGACACTGCCACACCTCCTCCACCTCCTCCGTGACCAGCCACGCTGCGTCCTTCCAATCTACACCCCCGCCCCCACCACCACCACCATGAAGATGCAGGCGCAGTGCAGGGAGCAGTGAGGAAGGCGGCCTTTCTGCCCCTCTGTGCGGACGCAGGTCTCCACTGCATGAACTTATAAAGTCTCCACGTGTGCCAAGTCCAGGGGTCCGGGAAGGGGAACTCGACGTGTGGGCCCCCCCACCCAACCATCTCGCAGGGAAGGAGTGCGGGCACCCACCTCCCAGCCTGTGAACCCACAGATGGAAGTCAAGCCTGTAGTTCCGGGTTGCTAACCAGCCGCCGCTAAGGGGCCTTCGGACGCCCTCGTGCCTGGCCAGAGCTGGATACCTCCCACAACGGTTCCCATGTGGAACATTGACCACCAGCCTGGGAGCCATGGGCAATGGCCAGCAGAGGGATGCCACCCTTCCTCCCAGGACAGGCTCACCAGCCAGCCACAGAAGCCCAGGCGGGTCATCATGCTGTGCCCAGTACACACCTGGCTCAGACACAGTGTGGACCTGGTCCCTGAGCACACACTGGGGCAGTGCCCAGAAATCACCAGATCCCCTGCCACCATGGAGGGCAGGCGGGCTGCAGGCCGAGGTTGGGGGCCGTCCCAATTGGGGGTCAGGGCTGGGAGCACAGGCAGAAGCAGCTCTCACCCGGGGGTGCAGAGACTGGGCCAGAAGTGGCTCTCAGGCAGCATGAGGATAGGGCAGCCTCTCTCGTCTGTGGGGGGGACAGAGACTGAAGGGTGGAGCCTGGAGGTGGGGCTACCTCTAGTGTCAGGGCTGGCCCTGGCCTGGGGAGTGGGGAGGACAAGCCTCTCTTTCCAGGGCTGACCTAGCCTAGCCGGAGGTGAAAGCCTCCCATGGGCAGCCTGCTCTCTGTAACAAGAGTGTTAAAAATCACGCGTGGGAATTACTTTGACTCCAGGTCAGCAGAGAGGCGCTTTCCACATTAGAGCCTGATTGAGCGTCTCGCCCGATGGCCAGTCCTCCCTCCTCCTCCGGGAGGTTAATTGTGCAGTTCTGGGAGGAACCAGCCAGCGCTCCGGTGACTCTCTCTGGGATCCTGAGCGCCTGGCCAGAGCCACCTGCGAAGTGTGACCCTTTGTCCTGAGGACAAGCAGGGCTGCTGCCCAGGTTTCTCCTGGTTTAGGGAGACCAGGGTCTGGAAGACCGCCTAGGCTCAGGTGACTGCCTCGGGCTCCCCTGCCCCCTCCTCCTTCTCACCCTTATCCCTCCCCCTGCCCCCTCTTCTCTCACCTCCTCACCCTTCGGAATGCCCCCTCACCGGGCACGGAGCCTTCGTCCTGCTGTGAGCACGGCTCGGACACACGAATGAAAGGGAGGCTTAGCACGCCCTGTGTGCGGAGCGTGGCAGAAAGGGCTGTGCCTGGACTCCCTCCGCCACCTGGCTTGAATGCCCT